AAGTAATTATTAAATCTCAGATCCTCATCAGGGGGATGACAGAGTGAGCATTTTTCATTATTTTGGTGGACTTCTCAGAGAATAGTTGATGGGTCTTGATTTTAAAACTCTGACTTTAAGGGGACTGATATCAATGAGTGTGTGTGATTTGATACTGATCCAAAGAAAAATCCGGATCTAGTAAATTTAAATGTGGTTTCATGAGGGGACTGTTCCACGGGCGGGTCCAGGCTCTTTGTTTCTCCTTCTCTAACATGTAGGGTGTTAGCGTTGGTGGAGAGGTTTTGTTTAGATTTTTTTTTTTTACATTCAATATGTTTGCCAAGACGTGATTTTCTTCAATTTCTTTGATCTATTTTGTTTTGATTTGAAGTTACATTGTTAGATTTTGTTATGATAACTTTTTGTACGTGAATTGTTTCAATTTGTCACATTATATATCACACACATACACACATCTGTTTTTTTATGTGCTTACTCATACTCATTATCCAAACAAATGGTCACTAATTCAAAAACAAGCGCACCTACTGACCCATGCATGAATTCACTGATATTCTTACACACACATCACATCATTAATGTGTGTGAGTACAAGATGACTCACCAACTCTTTGTGTGTGTTCAAAACCTGCCTATTTACTAAAAAAGGACAGAAATAAAAGTTATTGGCACTCCATAATTGCTTGGCCCTGTCTCAGTAAGTTGTAACCCCTCAGACAGCAGAAGAAATATCACCGATCACCAGGGCTAAGAATAGCATCAGGATGCTGGCCTATGGCCAACAGTGAAACGTCTCGTCTTCGTTAGTTTGGGTAATTAGCGACAGTGTTTCCAGCGATGCATCCAGCTGAAGATCTTCAAACAGTCCTCACTCCTGTCTGTTACAACCTTTAACTAATGAGTCATCCTGCCAGTTAAGATGCAGTATCAGGGGGAAAATAAGGGAAGACGCTAGCGTGACCGAGGCCTGATCTAAGAGACAGGTTTGGTGAAAAACAATCCACTGAAGTCACAGTTCTTTCCTTTGTGTTCATTTTTTCTTTTCATGCCTGTATTCCATTATCCATTATCTCTGGTGAAGTCTTTTTTTTTAGGCTTCTATTGATTTTTAAAAGTATGTAAATTTGTCCCAACCCAATGCTGGAGTCAACGAGGCATTACAACTCAAATATAGCTGCATCAATTAAACTCTCCTGCTGATGCATCTGATTCACATTCAGTTTTGCGATTTTGTAATAAAAAAGAAGAAATGGGTCACAAGGTTTAGTTTAGCCTTGATTATAAGAACAAATAATATCTTTGTCTTTTTGGTGTCCTTCTATGTTTTTCTCTTGTTTTCCCTCCTTCCCTTCATTCACTATAGCTGTCAGAGGAGGAGTGAAGTAATTACAACCTGCCTCTGACCCACACTGGCCTGCAGCCCATAGAGGAGGGCCAGGGTGGAGCGCCGCCAAGAGAAAAGAGTAGGAAAAAAGAGACAAGTAGCAAGAGACAGACTGAAGAAAAGTGGGTGAAAAGAATGAAGAAGCGAAAGCAGAGGAGAAGAGAAAAAAGAGAGTGGCTGAGTGCAGGATGCTGATAAATGATGGAATGAAGGAGAAGAGGGCAGGACTGATGAGAGGATAGGGGGCGAGCAGGATGGCAGAGGGAGAAAGGGAGGGTAAGCTTCCGACAAAAGGAAGTGGGAGACAATCCACTAAAACACATGGTGAGTGTGTGTGAGTGTGTGTGCGCGTGTGTGAGCAACGAACAAGGCAGTGCAAGCAGTACATGGTCACAGCCCTAATAGCATTATATTACTTGATGCCAAATATATGAGCTTGGAGGTTTGATTGCAGGTTGTTCGGGATTTAATTCTAAATTAAGCCTGTAAGGAGAAATTTGCATATAAATCCATGTACCCGAGTGTTCCTCTGTGAACGCACAACAATTACAAGCATTTAAATCAGCGATTTAAGACAACGGAGTGGGTGCCAGGGTAGCTCACACATGGATGAGTACACATTCACACACAATGAGGTGTGCCTGATTCAGGAGGATAATTATTAAAATACATCAGTTAACGCTTGTGAGCTTTTTTATAGCACTTATGAATCTAAACTCACACACGTGCACACACACATTCACTGAGTTCAGGCCAAGTGTGGCAGAAAGAGGGAAGGGAGGAGAAGAGATAAAACAGGTGTGAGTAAAGAGAGAGAATGTGACAAAGTGAGTGAAGGAGAGCCAGAGCTCTGAGCTTCACTTGGAGATGGCTGCCGGCCTCGGAGCCTGCCAGCTCTGACTGGCACATTTGGCACAGTCCTCAAATCTATGATGTTTTGTTTTACCTCTCTCTCAACAGTTGTGTCTCTGTTTGGCTTTAACGTTTAGTGTTGGTTGACCTCCTCCCGCTGCCAGCTGTGGAGGGTCTTTCACAGTGAGTGTGGTTGCATGGATTTGATGCACTCATGGAGGTGAAGGTCAGTGCTCATCATTACAAAAACAGTGACTCATGATGATGATTCATAATGAAAACATGATGGTCATCTCACACCTCTGTGCTGGTCTAGAGCTGATCCATCAGAACACTTTATATCCCCAGCATTATCAGTGATGTCCACTACCTGATGTCCATGAGTGTAGCATCCAATCGTCTAAATATGCCTTTCTACATCCAGATCCAAGAATTATTCCCTTGGAAACTGATGTGAGTGTCAAAGAGGTGAAAAGAAATTCCTGGATACCAAAATGTAATGGTTTCTTTCTTGGCCCATGTCCCACCCCCCAACTACATTTCTGTTGTGTAGTTTCCATGTCATGCTGCTGACAAATAAACAAACCAATAGCACTCAGATTGACTTGTTTCTTCTCTAACCCTAACCCTTCCACCAACCTTCGTCCAGCAGTTTTGTGTCATCGTGCTCACTCATCCCACACAATCAACAAACAAGACTGAAAACATATCCTCCTTGGTTGAGGTAAATATTGAACTTTTACCACACAACTGACTGGTTACTTACCAAATGAAGATTTTACATTTTAGAAAAATGCAAAAATAAAATGCAACAGATTGTTAAGGATTAAGCCAATAGTTTCCAAAGATTTTGTCTTGTGACCTTTTCCAAAAAACTGTGTCTACCTGTATGAATCTTCCATCACATTCACCCTCTGATCTTATATGTGAGGTAAACATTGAAATCAGCTCACGTAAAAATATAAAGACTGAAGTGAATACAAATTGGACTTTTAAATTAGAATGGAAGATACGTTTTCATTGTGATGTTGGTACTTAATGAAAGACCTGAATACGCCACCACTGTCAGGTACCCGAGGTCGACACAAGAACAGGGAGAGCAGACAGTATAATGAAATTCAATGCAACCCTGGCCCTGCAACTTAGTGGTCATTTTTGAAGCTGCCTGCACCTTATTATCAATCCATACATCATGTGCATGGTGACGGATATATGAAAAAAAACATTTAGCCTAAACATGGACTGAAAAGGTGGCTGCACAACCACCAGAAACCTTCTCTGGTGAGACTTTATGCTGATACTTCTATTATTCCTGTTCTGGCCTTCTCTTCCTCACTCTGAACCCTTTCACCAACTCACAGACACACACACACAAACACACACGTGGCATTATGGTTTAGCCTTTTTGTCCAGTCTTTTCCACAGACATTCACATGAGACCTTGAATCTGCTTTGACTTCTATTTGCTGAAAGTATATTTGTACAAAAGTGAGTGTGTGTGTGTGTGTGTGTGTGTGTGTGTGTGTG